AGTGTACCGATCTCTTAGCTAGTCTCAGCGTCTACCAAATGAGTTGCTCCTGTCCAACTACGCTCACCAATTCTTTGATAACCGACCCATAAACAGTGAATCCACACACACAACGGTGCTGCTGATACAAAAACTTAGTGCAGAAGTACATGGCATTGACATAAGCGCACCATACCTAACCCAAAGTGTAACTTAAGTTACGAGTTGCCCAGAATGGACGTCTAGCGTCATAGAAGGCGTGACGTGTTTCGTGACACCCATTCTGGGAAACACCTGACTAACTGGACAACAGTTTCGATTATACAGGTGATACATCCTTCATTTGTAGCTGTTCCTCCAGCGAGAAATGTTTTCTCAAACGCCTCCAACGATATTTTTCATGTCGTGCAGTTTTGTGAGAAAGAATTTGAGAGTGGTTAATCATACTCTTCAGGAAGATGGGCGGATATATGAATGGTAATATTTTTCGGCAGAAAACACAAACCGGTCTACATTTTCATCTTTGATGATTCAAACCATTTCGGTATGAAGGAAACCTGCTCAAGCACTTGAACCGCAGTCTAAGATATGTATATGTCCCGGTAACTGTATTGGAAAATAAATGGATTATCCAGGAAAAACACTACAGCAAAATGGTTGCCCACAAAACGTCATAATTAGGTGAGTGTTGAGAACTGGAGAGACGACCAGAAGACATCTTTACATCTCATACCAAGTTTCAAATTTGGTACTGTCTCTGATACCCTAGTGCACCGCTAGGGTAGATCTACCGAATGGACTTTCGCTGCAATGAAAGTTTTCATGAGCCTATCGACCAAAGCCCAATTGAAATAACGAAAGAAGGACGAGTCACCAATGATGGCAACTTCAGTACTAATTCAGCAGTCCGAGTACGGCCAGTTGCATAAGCCTTATTGAAAGGGCTGTATCCATGAGAGCTTCCGAACACGTGCTAGCTTGGTCAGTGAAAGAAGTGATAAGGTTCATCAACAGTGCCGTCATTTCGCTCTCATTAGATACCGGACGTCAAACCAAGGTGAGCCACATCATTTCTGCTATCTAGAGTGTCCTTTGCAATCTCGTTGAGGCCAAAAGACCATGCATTTTAACTACGACCGAATCCATGGAAATCAACACAAGGAAGTCAAATGTGTGTTCAAAAGAAATATGTCCATCTGCTCTGTCCACCTTGGCCAAAAATAAGGAAAATGTGTTCTTTGTAAACTATTCTACCGTAAATTTTACATTTTAACCAACCCTCCCTTTGTGATGGCTCCTGTCGCCAACTCCATTGGTAGACATACACTTTTCAACTTTATTAGTTTATGTCTTTCCCAATTCATACGATTAACCGTATTCATTTTCTGCCTTTACTCAACACTTCACTTCTGTTGTTCGTTGTTTCGCTACCGTACTGAAGTGTTTTTTCCCTGCCTGAATGTATTTCGTGGCTACATAATGGTTGCTTGGCCCTTAACCAACAGATAAACAAATACGCATACCCTCGTACCCTCACACAAACCGACACAAAAAACTGTCATATCTTGATTCCCAATAGCTTCGTTCATACGAAATTCACTGCGCAACTAGCGCACCAGACTGGTTACCATTCTACCTGACAAGGACTTCGGTTTCGACTTCACTAACCCGCAACACCGATTGTTTCGATATTGAAAATTGTTTGCACAAGGCCTTACTTTGGCCACTAAATATCACTTACTTTCACGGATTTATAACTGTATATCCTGGAGGAGCTATTGAAAACTAGGTGTTCGCTGAGACTACTATTTTCCGAAAATCTGTCTTTATGAACGGCCCCAGATACTTAGTAGACAGTTTTGTATTCTTAAGATCTTCCTTACATGCTGGTTTACTGCATTGGCACAACCAGACTGCTGCAGAAGTACTACAGAATCACTACATATCACAGTGTATACTCTATTAACTCCCACCGCACACCCAGCATCTTTCCTCCCCTCAGTAATGCCACAGATGCCTCCCCTTTCCATGGCCTGTAAAACGAATGCCTTAGCCTACACAGATTCTTCAGTTCAAAACTACGTCACAATCTTTGGTTGGAAATTAAAAGGCCTAGGTTCTGACCTTTAAAATAGCATTAAGCAAAGCATCAAACGTGCTGCGTCCCTACGACACTTATCTGTATGTAACTGCTTCTTCCTCGTTTGTCCTCTTCACATTTTCATCGTTCACACCATTTTTTGAAATTCTCAGGTAACTAGTACTAATTATCGCATCTTTCTGTTTCTGTTTCCCAACCGATTAACAGATTATCACTGAGGGTTGGACTAGCGGGCCCTCTTAACTGCAGCATGCTTCGTATTTTCTAATTAAAACCCATGAACTGCTGCTGCCCATAGTTTATAAGTGCAAAAGGCAGAGGATGCTCTTGTTACGTGACTACAACGAGGGCGAAAGGATCGCCTGCCCCAGGAAGAACTTCAAAAGGAATGTGGTGAATAACTATGTAATCTTTCCACCTATTAACTGTGCTCATTTCAGAGAATAGAGCTGCGATCATACCAAAACAAGCTAT